TTTTCATGTATTTTCAAGGGGTATTTATAGAAAAATTCCATCTGTCCTCTTGCCCCCTGATTTGGACGAAATTAGACACCTAAGGAGGTGTATGTGGCAACCATCAAGTGTCCAAAATATTCAGATCACTCCATGTGGCATTTCTCTAGATTTTTCCACAAAAATATCTCTTAATTTCACATTTTATTTAATAAAAATGGAAGAACCTGGAAGGTGCACAAAACTGGGTCCTTATTGGGCTCAATGTGGGCCCCACAAAAGGTTTGGGCTGACCCAAAAAGATGGCCTACAAACCAAATCACTATCTCAAACCAATCGGAAACTTTATCAACTACTATTCACTAATAGCATTCTATAATTTTTCCAGACCTCCAAAAATTCATTTCTCTCTATGATAATTCACCTTTTAATATAGAAATATGATCTGAAAATTTTCAAAATTTTTAATCACCTTTAGGTATTTATTTTGAATTTTCTCCGATTAGGTCTTTATCGGTAAATCTGAGGGAAAATAAATTTTCTAAAATTAATTTCTTAAGCTTCTAAGGCCTAAAATAAATTTTATCCACCAATATCCTAAATTTTATTGAGGCCTCTAACTCATTAAAATAATTATTTTCCTTCGTTTTCCCAATAATTTCTCGAAAAACCTACATTTATAGGAAATTCCGTAATATTTCATTTTCACCGAAATTCCACCTTTCGGGCCTCAACCAAGTTTCCAAAATCTCTACTCTACAATTTTCCCATTTTTCAGGGATTTTCTGGAATTTTTCTCAAATTTTCCTGTTTTGCCCTTCCTAGACTGATGATTATGAGAATGCCAGTCTGGACCTTTTCGGGGTTTCATATCAAAAGTTATCTCATCTCCCCATCTAGTTCCTACATTGACCCTCATCCCAATTTTTGATCCAGTATCGCCAGATGAAAATTTTTAGGATGTGACAGAAGTTCTCTAGTTACCAACCATATAAATAACCATGCTCACCGAACTAAACATGATGAAGGCAACCTTCAGAGTGCGTGACAGCACGATGAGTGGCAAGTGCAAATTGAGGGAAGTTAGTAGTGAGAATGAGAAGTAATATATAGGCATGAGGCAAAGACAGAGTCATAGAGGTGAGGAGCATAGCATGATATAGCAGTCAAAGGGGTGAGAAGCGATAGTAAGAGAGGCGAGATGCAACGGAGTTGTGTGACTGAAAAAGAAACCCTCATATTTTCCTTCAATGTTTTCTTTCAAATTAATGAAGGTAATCTTGTGATTACACAATTTAAATCTTTCGCAATTAAGTCCCAGGGATTCTATTGTGATAAAATCTCTTGTTTGAGACTCTACAGTAATTTTTTCTAAAGAGTAATTATGTTCAGAGAGAGATAGTAATTAAATTAACATATACCTATGAGCTGACTGGTAGAGAGGGAGCGGATTCATAGGAAGAAGAGAGATTTGGTAGGAGAAAAATATGACAGCAAGCCAAAAGTGAAAAATATGAGAGGTGTCGACACTTATGGGGGGGGATTGGTAGTAGTTCTCATGAAAACTGCTACCACAAATGTTACACGTTACTATCAAGCAACCAATTTAGTAGCGATTACTTATGAAAACAGCTAACAATACAAAGAAGGTGTTTAGGTAACTAAGAAAGTGCTTTTAAAAAACAATTTTTTACAAATAGAGAAAAACTCTTTCACAAGTTTATTTTATATACCGTAAAATCACTTTTAAAACTATGGTTTGATACTCATCCAAACACTCCCTTAGTAATTGTCTGTTGGTAAACTACTACACCAACCCCTACCAATCCCAACGTTCTCCCTCATTTTCCTCGGCACTTAGCAGTGATTCAATAAAACAGCTATAAATTTCATGGTGTCATCTGACCTCGTGCATTTTTGACCTCGTGCATTTTGCCCTAGTTGAACTACAAGTGTGACCAACGAATCGCTACAAACATGGTGCCACGTTGGAACCATTTGATGGAAGGCGCCACTTGGCCAGTGATTCCTAGACACCAAACAACTACAAATAACTTGCTACTAATTTGGTGACAATAACCTACCAATTTAGCAGCGGTATACTATTTGACAGGCTAGTCAAAGTGATGAAAAATAGTGGGGTGTAACCAATAACCGCTACTATTCTTGCACTTAGTAGTAGTTTTTTCAAATCACCACCACTTAACTACAACTACTATTTTTTTTTTTTGGGTAGTGTGGTCTATTATTTGATAGGCTAGTAAAAGGTGGTGTAACCGATAACCGCTACTATTCTTACACTTATTAATGGTTTTTTAAAATTAGAACTACTTAACGGTAACTAAATTATGTTTTTTTTTTTTTTAGTGTATGGTTGTACCACGCACAAGTTAATGAACTTAACAAGCCCATTCCAAAAGCATATTTTCATGAAAGAAAGTAATGGTATATATATATTCGCAATTAATTAGTGATTGAAGCAACTATACGTAGTTACGTCTCTGATTTGGTTTAATTTAATTTTAATTTTCTTTACAGTGCTCACGGTGACAAAAAGACAGTGCCGATTATGCATGCTTTGTGATGAAATTCATAAAGACATTGTCACGCACAATCTCCCAATTCCTAAGAAGGTATATATGGTACATTTTTTTTCATTCACAAAACTTAAATTCCAAGTAATAATGAAGAGATATAAAACTTTTTCATTCACCATATAATTCCTTTGTTAAATGATTTTATATATAGTTTAAAAATATTTATTATATTATATTATATTCTTAAACTATTAAAATATACTTCATCCGGTTGCATTTATAAGATCCCAAATTTTAAACAACTGGTTTGATCCTTTTTATAAGTTCCTATTAAGAACTGTCTGGGCATTAATAAATGCGTTTTTACCAATTTTATGTCCAATTAATTTTTTATTTTCTTTCATTCTTTATTTTATAACTGGTATTTTTTTAATCTTATTTGCTCCCTCATTAAAGAAGGACATATTTGGAAAACAAAAAGGGTTTGATTTGCACATATCTCATGCTTTTAAATGTTTTCTTACATAGTGTAATTTAGTTGAGACGATCTTATAAACAGGACTAGAGGGAGTGCAATAGAATAATTACTGCTAATTAAGTAATATTTATAGAAACGAAATTTACACATTTTGTATTAATAATAATTCAATTGCATGGAAACAATTGGAAGCTCGATAATAGTTTTCAATTTGAATCTTACAAATGGAAAAGAAATGCCGGGGTAGCTTTGACTCTTGTTTAGAGCTCACTGCAAATTAAATTCAAATTATTACATCCGTTACTTAGTATAAAACATATTTGACTTGTTTGAGGAGATTAAAAAAATTAATAAATTACCATAAAATATTTATATTTATTCTTCTTGCCCAAACTAATTTGTCAATCTTATAAATTGATATATAATCTAACGATATATACAAATACTTTAAAGAGATCATATAATATATACTATTTTAAGTAATTTAGTAATTTTTTAACATTTTTAAATTAGTTAACTGTGTTTTATATTTATATGCCTTACTTTTTAAAAATTACATTATTTTACCTTACTTTTCGTGGAAGTAAAAAAATACGTTTGTTACTTATTAATTAAAAAATACATCGTTAATGCATAATAACTTTGCTTTGCATACAAGATAGCAAGGCGCATGATTAATATGCCGGTCGTTTCATTGGCAATGATAAAGTAAACGACACAAATCACGAGGCCTTTATATTTTAAGTATTTGTCTGGACGAAAAGAAGAAAGATGCCGAAGAAAGAAAGTTAGTCTGCGGACACGCGGTAATAGTTTGGTTGTCATTGACAGAAACTTGAGTAATAGTTCCTAAATTCCAAATAACACCTTGATCGCTTCAAAGTCAACACAAACCTCATGAGGGAGGTGGGGCTCTTTCTACAGATAAAATAACCAAAATGTAATGCAAAAACTGATTTAAAATTTTTTCATTGAAAATCAGTTTGATTCCGTTTGAGACAATACAATTAATTTTATTCAATTTTAAATTTCCGTAATATTAATTCAGATGTCTTTGTTGCCATTTAGTATTTATTTTTTTAAAATAAACAGTGTTATTCTTTCTTTCTTTTTTAAAACTAAAGTTAGCTTTTGGATTGAAAACCATTATTTGAATTATGATTACTTATACTGAAACTTTTTCAAGTTGAAAATATTTTCCTGTAATCTAAGATTTTCTATATGCATGTATTTCTCCCGTTTGATTATAACGTTATGGTATCTGTTCAAAAGATTCCAACAAAAAAATATCCTATCATGAATGTATGAGTTAACTAATTCATAGATATTAAAAAAATTAGTTGGATAAGTTATTAGGCAAAAAAATAGCATATTAACTTTTTAAAGATATTTTTTAATTGTCGAAAATGAAAACTAGCTCATATATTTAATATATGAGAGAGATTTAAAATAAAATTAAAACAACATTTCAGTTAACTCCTACATTTAAACTATAAGAGAGATTTTGACCAAAACAAAAGCTAGGAGAGATTAATTAGTTTTTTTTTTGGGGGGGGGGCCAAGAGCAAGGCAGCGCTCGGGATAGGATGGAGCCCACAAGTTGTTTACTCGGAGAGAAATGAGCGTGTTAGTTAACAGGTTCACCGTACATGACCCCTCAAACGCTCCGTCCAAATTAAAGGCTTCTTTTTCCTTTTTTTTCACTTTTCTTAATAATAATAATAATAATAATAATAATAATAATATTGCATGTTCTAATTCTATAGGCCCCAAGCTCCATCAACACAGTAACGAAGCAATTCCTTATTACCTACGACTGATTCAAAGTCCGCAGCCTCGCCTCAGATTCCACGAAAACACTTCTCCGTCACCACTCGTCCCTTCAATTTTATATATAGTACACGCTTCCCATCGATCTTCAAATTTGCATTCATTGCTCTCCACTGATCAAACAACTTTCCATTATCATTATATTGTCTTCGTGTTTCTGAAACTCAGTCATCAGCATGCATAGGTTCAGACTCCGATCAGCTTCCAAGCTTTTCCTTTCTTCTTCTTCCTCTTCCTCTTCTTCTGCAACTCCAAAGAGATGCTTCCATTGTTCTCTCAGTGCCATTCCTCATGGTATGCATTATTCTGCTACCTAAATACATATATATGATTGTTTTTTTTTAAGTACTGAAATAATAACCTTTTGGGTTGTGAATACTCAATTTGCTTATAGGATGCGAGGAGAGTGAAATTGTAGTGGCAAGGTCTCGTGTGAGGAAGGAGAAAAGGGAGAGAAAATCTATTATTTCTGGTGGATTGCTGAATGCTGTTGAGGATCAACATGGAGGTGTTATCGTAAACATGAACAAGCGTCTGGATTCCAAAGTTTTTTCTTCTATGTTACACGCTTCAATCTCACATTGGAGACAACAGGTACAATCTCTCTCTCTCTCTCTCTATATATATATATTCAGCTATATGCAACTGTGTGTAGAGAGAAAAGAGTTAGCATAGTACAAATTAAAAAGTATTTTACATCACTTCTCCAACAAGTACATATACCGCCGACAAAAAAATACTCGACTGTCTGCATTAATTATGAAGAATTTAATTTTTTTTTTGGCCTTGATGAATAATTTAATTAAACTAAGTAATTTATTGAATAACTTTGTACAGAGGTTGTTGTTATAACCGGTGTGTAAAGCATTTTCTACTCGAATTCCTTTAGCAACCAATGTAAAAAGTCAATAGTCTCATACTCCTCCGGTCCTTATTATAAGACCTAATTTGACTTTTTATTTGGTCCTAATTATAAGACCCAATCCATTTTCTCTCTTATATTTATGTATTTTTTTCCAAGATAATCCTTCTAATAATGATAGTTTTAGCCAATATACTTAATTAGCAAGGATATTTTAGGAATAACAATACTTATTTATTATAAATAACCAATTTAACTTACTTCCTTAATCTCCTCAAATAAGTCAATTGGGTCTTATAATTAGGACCGGAGGAGTATCTTATTTATAAAAATGTTACCGATCATATTTTTTACGCCATTTTCACAACAACCGGCGTAAAAGGCGTACTGTAAAAATGCTATTTTGCAGTAGTATAAAAGGAAGGTGAGACTTATACTGAAGGCTGGGCCTCTGATATGGTGCATTACATTCATGACTAAAAAAATTTAACTTAATTTAATGGCACGTTAAAAAAGAAGTAAGTACTATGTGCAAATTTACCCATGAAATATTTTGCCATTGGTATCAAACATCATAAATTCTTCTTGGCTGGATGCAAAAATATACATGGAATTTTCAAAATAGTGATAAAATACTATAGTTATTAAGTCAATTAACGTTGACCATTTAGCAAACATCTAGATCAAGAAAATAGTGTAAAAATTTATATGAAGTTGTCATAAAAAAAGGTGCAAATATGCCATGGCCATTGGAAACTTTATGTACATTTTTGCATCATTTTGGAAACTTTATGTATATTTTTGCATCATTTTAAAAACTTTATGTGTATTTTCGCACTATTTTCTTAGTTGGTATATTTGTTAAACCGTCAATGCTAGTTAACTTAACGGCCTTGATATTTTTGCATCACCTTGAAAACTCCACATGTTTTTTAGTTCATGAGTGGATTTGCTCCTTAATCTATTTTTATGCTGTTTTCCCCTCTTAATGATAGTTCCTCTCAACTATATAAATATTACATTACAAAATAGGTCTTATATTTAAGACTGAAAGAGTACGTGTATGTGTGTGTGTGTGTATGAATTCATTCCTCAGTGTGATCTTGCAGGGAAAGAAAGGAGTATGGATCAAGTTGCCCATAGAATCATCAAATCTTGTTGAGGCTGCTACCAAGGTGATAATATTAGTTAAGAGAAAAAAATTATAATGCCAACCTTAATAAATTGTCATATTTCATTATACAAAAATCCTTTGAATCCTACACAAATAACCCTATTAATCTTTAAAACTTAATATGAGAAACTCCTAAACTTTCAAATTGTGTGGATAATCCATAGTAGTAAATTATATACTCCTTAGACTTTGCATTTGTATGCATACAACTCTCTAAAACTTTGCTTTATATGCAAATATAACTCCACTAAATCTTGAAGCTATGTACATATGAGTAGCGAACAAAACTAATAATCAGGGAGATGTCTGCATAAATGTGACAATTTAGAGGGGTTCATTGTGAAGTTAAGAAGATTATCTATCGATGACATAAAGTTTAGGGGTTATATATATAATCTAATTGAAATGTGTCATATATCCAACACAAGTTTGGAGCATATATGTCAGAATCGATAATGTTCCAATTTCTTTTGCTTTTTGTGTTTTTCAAATAAGCATGATTCTTCTTACGTCAGTGAAGCGTGTACGATAATGAGCCATATTTTGTTGGTTGTGAAAATATAATATAATGCAGGCAGGATTTAGGTATCACCATGCAGAACCTGAATACCTAATGCTTGTACGTTGGATTCCTAATACTCCTGACATTCTTCCTGCAAATGCTTCCCATCGGGTCAGCATTGGAGCCTTTGTTGTGAACTCCAAAAGAGAGGTCGGTGTACACACACGCACAACCCCCTTTAAGAAATATATTTCAGATACTTCCTGCAAATTTTAGACTTTAATTAATTGTCATCTTCTATACTGATAATTTATTTGTAAAAATTATTCCTTTTTTTGTTTTATTTTATTTTTGTAGGTGCTTGTGGTTCAAGAGAGATGCGGCAGATTCAGCGGAATAGGACTATGGAAGCTGCCCACTGGAGCTGTCAGTGAAGTGAGCATCTGTTATGATTTTATATATAAAATACCTCCATTCCTTAATATAAGAACTAGTTTGACATTCAGTTTTATCCTAAATGTAAGACATCAATTCACTTTGTCCCTTACATGTATTCATTTTTTCAAAATAGTTCCTGTAGTAGTTGGATACATTAAATATTCCTTCGAATAGTAGTTCTAACTAAATATATGACTAACAAGGATATTTTAGAAAAAATAACACCTATTTATATTACAAATAACTAACTTAACAAATTTTCTTAAATTACTCAAATCAGTCAACTAGCTCTTATATTAAAGACTAAAGGCAGTATGTATTATTGATGATTAATCAAAAAAATTCTGAATTTGAGTCTTATAAACTCTATCCTTTTGCAGGGTGAGGATATATGTACTGCTGCAACAAGAGAAGTCAAAGAAGAAACAGGGGTAATGAAGCAGAATCAATATATATGTGTGTGTATTATCTTTTTTATTCCAAGCTTTAGACTTTCATTCATAGTCTAAAACCAATGCTTTTTATTTCAGATAGACACAGATTTCGTTGAGGTTCTAGCATTCAGGTATGTATTCTTGAAGTTAATTTTATGTTGTAGATGTTTGTGCTGTTTGGTTAACTGCTGTCAATTATAATTTTATGTATTCATGGTAATTAAGGCCATTGATGTTGAAATTACGTAAATTTACTTTAAAATAAAAAGTATTTTTGACGTACGATCATATAGTTTTTACTTTTAAAATGCATGCATACGATATTAATAAGAATAGACCACATTAAACAATAATACTAGTTATCACATGGTATGATATATTAAAAGTTCAAAATATTTTTAAATATCATATTTTATGTGACATTACTAGTTAGAAGATTGCATGTTTGCGTGTGTGTAGCAAAATGAATCTTGTAGGTGGTCTTTTTCTAACAACTTGTGTGTTTCCGATATCAGGCAAGGTCACAAGTCCTTCTTTCAAAAATCAGATTTGTTCTTTATTTGCATGCTGCAACCACGTTCCTTTGACATCCAAAAGCAAGCTTCTGAAATCGACGCAGCTCAGGTATATATCCATGAATCTAAGAAATAGTGAGAATTCTTTTTTTTTTTTTTGGGCCAAAATAGTGAGAATTCTTGATCTCTCTCAATATCTCTCTCATTTCGAAAATCTAGGATTTGAATTGCCATATACATAAATACTACCTCCGGTCCTTAATATAAAAGTTCACTTAACTTTTATTTTGGTGCTAAATATAAGAGTCCAATCTACTTTGTTTCTCATATTTATTCATTTTTTTCAAGATAGTCCTTCTAATAATAGTAGTTCTAAGTCAAGTACACTTGATTAACAAGGATATTTTAAGAAAAACAATACCTATTTATTATAAATAACTAACTTAACTATTTGCTTAATCTACTCAAATCAGTCAACTAATTATTATATTAAGGACCTATTTTTTAACTTCATTCTTTAGTCCTTGTATTTTTTATTCAAACTTTATTTTAAGATATTTTTAAACTTAGAGTGCAACAAAGAAATACTCCCTCCAATTTCAAATGTAAAAATTTTATGAATAATTTTATATATTTAAAAAATTAGTTAAACTAGTTATTTGTAAAAGCTAGTTGCTAGTTTCTCTAAAATATCATTTTTAATCATCTGCATTTTGACTACCTCTTGATGGAAATCCCCCTTCATATGTACAATAAATAGGGATGGTTTAGAAAATTTTATAAATTTAGATGGGAAAGGAAATTAAGATCTTCTATAAAAATCAAAATGAATCGCCTTGTTTAACTCATACATTTAAGAGGGGAAGGGGTATCAATTTGCACAAAATTAAAATGACGTGGAATTTGGTATTGTTTTATTTTACAGTGGATGCCAATTGAGGAGTATGCAGCCCAACCTCTTGTGGGAGGAAATGAACTCTTCGGTTTGATTACAAAAGTTTGTTTAGCAAAGTTGGGTGGCACCTACAATGGCTTCTCTTCCCAACTCACAACTTCTTGTTCTGGCAAACAGTCTTTTCTCTACTTCAATGGCCGGATCTATTGATGAACCGTGAAGCTGCTAGAGATTCATTTGCCAAATAAGCTCTTTTGGACAGTTAGCCAAAAAATTATTATTACATAAGACAAATTGTTAGTATGTTACTAGTTGAGCAATTAGGATGCATAGCTTCAAGTTTGTCAAAAACAAAGAAAAAAGAAAAAGGATGGTGTTGCTGATCACTTTAGAGCCATTAGACAGGTCATTTTCTTTCATTCTTAAAATTATTTGTGTAAAATAAGAATTTTGTCCATTTATTATTCATTCATTATTATATTTGCAGCTTTGGAGCTGCCACAAGTTAGTTGGATATGCATTTTCTTTGTAGTTATGACACCCTGTTTTAGGAGCTTTAATTACACGTTTATATCCCTTTTAGTTATTGAAACAAGTTTACATGGCTTCGAGTTCATAAAACTTAATCTTTTAAGTCCAAACTACATTTCAAAGCTTTTGAGTACTCTACTCTCACAAAATATTAATTTGAACAAACTGCATGCGAGCACATAAATACATAGTTGTACATCTTTACTTCCATAACTTACATCCGTTCATTTAACCATCCTATATAGTTATTTATATGCTATAGAAAGAATCAATTTATATTAATTCACACAAATCTCAGTAGTTGCAAAATAATAATATAAGTTATAACGAATTAAATAGGCAATCACTCATGGTAACATCTTCAAATGTGCAATCCACAAATTGTACTGGAATAACCATACAACTATAGTCATGGCATTCATGAAACAAGCTTAGTTGATGAAGTTCGTGTCAACATAAGATTCATAGTTGACAAACTCCATGTCGGCATAACACAGTACAGAACATGCTAGCCATGTAATAACTTATAATAAGTATGAAAGAAACTACTACCTAGAATTTTGGGTATAGAATATAAGAAATAGCCTAAAAGAAGCAAGATACTAGGCTCTAACTAGTAGGAATCTCAGAAATTTCCTGACAGGATAAGAAGAATTTTGAAGGATGAAATTGCGAAGAAAAAGTTTTCTAAAACCAAGGGACAAAGAAGATTGTAATGAAGCCTCGAGGGTTAAGTTAGAGGAATGAGGATGAATATGGCCAAAGGTCATAAAGACCTCGATGAGATGGTTCCTAAGGCTAAACCCTAGTAGGAACCTAATCGTAATTTTAAAAAGTTTTAGGCCGAAAAGGGTAATGATAGAAAGTATGCCAGAAAATGTCAAAAAATTTCCAGAAATGGGAAATGAGGTCCTGAGGCCCATTTGAGGCTAAAAATGAGAAAAATACCCCTGAAGTAAATTATGAAATTTTTAGTGATTTGGCTTGTTCTGGATTATTTGCCAAAATTAAATTATTTAAGACATCAAGAGGCCTCAAAGAATTGGAAAAAATGAGGAATAAATAGTTAAGGAATTATTGTAGGTTTTAAAAATGATTTTGTCTTTGTAATACGTAGAGGTTGGCTTGTATTCCCCTCTACCTGTGCCTTCCCAACCTTGGGTAGATATTTCTATGGATTTTGTGTTGGGTTTGCCTAGGTCTCAGTCTGGAAGGGATAGTATCTTTGTTGTGGTTGATAGATTTAGTAAAATGGATCATTTTATTGCATGTTCTAAAACAAATGATGCTGTCCATATTACTGACTTTTTTTTCAAGGAAATTGTTCAGTCGCATGGATTGCCCAAAACCATTGTGAATGACAGGGATGTAAAATTCCTTAGCCATTTTTAGAGGACTTTATGGAGTAAGCTAGGGACTAAGTTGTTATTTTCTTCTGTGGCACATCCCCAAACTGATGGGCAAACTGAGGTAGTTAACAAAACACTTACTACCTTGTTGCGTGCCATAATCCAAAAGAACTTGAAGAATTGGGTTAGTTGTTTGCCTCATATTGAGTTTGCATATAACAGAGCTGTTCACTCTTCTACTTCCTTCTCTCTATTTGAGGTTGTTTATGGCTTTAATCCTTTGTCTTCTTTAGACATATTACCATTCCCTTCTAACGAGCAAGCAAATCTTGATGGCGAGAAAAAGGATGAGTTTGTGCAGGGATTGCATGCTAAAGTGAGAGCCAACATAGAGAGGAAGAATGAGCAATATGCTAGGTAAGCTAACAAAGGTCATCGAAGGATTGTCTTTGAGCCTGGAGATTAGATTTATCAGGAAATCTAAGTTACATCCAAGAGGAGATGGCCCTTTCCAAGTCTTAAAGCGAATCAATGACAACGCTTATAAAGTAGATTTGCCTAGTTCCTATGGTAATGTTAGTGCTACTTTTAATGTTACTTTGACGTTTCAGATTTGTGGACGAATCCCTCCGAGTAGGGAGGGAATGATGGAGGGGTATGGTGTGATCAAGAGCACGGGCAAAGGGCCCAAACAAAGAAGTCCAACATTCCGAAAGATCCATTACAAGGCATTGGAGGCCCAACGACAAGAGCTTGGACTAAAGCTATGAAGGAGGCTGTAAATTGTCTAATAAGAGAGATAAAAGAGACAGAGCCCATTTATTTGGAAGAAGCACATTTTAATGAGCCTAAAAGGAGTCCAAAAATGGTGATCACATTGCTAGAAACCCAACAAGATGATGTACAAGGCCCATGTGGAGTTCAGATTGAAGAATTCACTTAAAATATCATGTGATAAGCATATGCCTTGGACAAGGATCATAAGTGACGTCCAAGAATCTTCAAGAAGGATCAAGAAGGCATCATTATGAATTGATTATGATTTAAATTCGTTGTTTTGGTCAAGGAGTGTTCTAGAAGATCATGTTTTAATCTACTTTCCTCTTTTTAAATAGCAGACTTATTCTTGAAGTTTAAGTTATTTCCTTTTATTTCTATGTAATAAATGGTGCCTCCCATAGTCAAATAATCATTAATGAGGCATCATCCCTAGAATTTATGTCTTAGGATACTGATTCTAGAGTGTTCTATTGTTGCCTGTATATAGGCTACATTTTTTGTAATTGAATACAGGTTTAGATGAATGAGAATTGAGTTTATTTCTCTCTGTATCAGCTTTGCTTGCATCATTGTATTCTCGTGAGAATACTCGATAGTATCAAGGGATTGATTAACCTTGTGGTGTCTTCATGGCTAGGGTTGTGAGAGACAGGTTCTCTTAAGGTCCTACCTAGATCAATCGTCCGTTTGTTACTTGATTCTAGTTGGTCCGTGCGTCCCCCCCCCATATCATCAAGAAGATAACCTCTGGATACAATTAACCAAATCTCAAATCATAGAAGTGGATAGAGAAGAGATTGAATCCAGAAACAAAGATTGATAACACAATCAAAATGTCACTAAAATTAAACACCTATAAACTCTAAACTCTTCCCTGTTAAAACCATGGATCAGGCTCTGTTATAGCTCCTAGAAATCTTTGAAGCTTAGCTGGACATGGAGGATGGAAGACTCAAGCTGGAGGATGTGAACTTCATCGCAGCAACGGATCAGGGTGGGGAATGAGGGATATGGACAAAGGATTCAGAGAGAACTGAAAAACAGAGATGAAGATGAGAAAACTCAATATGGAAAAACTCTCCTCCCCCAAATGCTTCACTCCCTTGTAACTAACGCCTCCCAACTGAAAATTAGTTTAGGATCCGCATGCTAACCACAACGGAGCTCCAAGATCCAGTTCCTTCTTTCTCCAGATCCTGTAGCATGTTTCTTGGTTCAAATTGCTGATTTCTGTCATTCGCCTTGGTGCCTATGATCATCTGCCGTGGCTCATATCCAAAACAGCGTTGTCTGAATTAGTAATGCGGGCTTTTGTAAAAACAAAATCCACCGCGACGCTTTTCACGGAAAGTCTTGCTACTATTGCACACCAAGTTCCCTGAATACTTGTTTCTTTGATTTCTGGACCTGAATTCATATGAAATTACAAAACACTCCTTCCAAACAATTATTAGTATTTCATCACAATTAATTCCAAAATTAAACATATAATTCCATAAAAATCATGCTAGAATCAATGACATATGGAGAAATATCAGTGCCATAGCTCTTTTATCAATCTATCTGAAGGCCAGGATATGCTCATCCAGTTAGAGGCCCAACCAGCCCTCCAAAGTGCTCAAGGATAAAGATATGGAGGATGATATAGATCATTGCTTGGATGATGATATGGACACATGCGGAGCTTCACGTGACATATGGAAGGCCACCTTGAAAGCCACCATGGCATTTGAGTCATTAGAGTGTAAACACTTGGACCTTAAGAAAGACAAGAGCGCGTTCTAAGAGCCTAAAAGGAGATTTGAAGCCAATTCCTATGTAATTAAAGGCCCAACACAATCATATGTACCTGGAGGAGTCCATTAGAGCTATAATCTTTTAAATTGGGATCCAAATGTATTGTGTTATGGACCATAGGAGTTCCAGAACGTGATTCAACCATATTCAAGCCCAAATGGGTGTCTAAAAGGCCCATACATGCTTATGGACGTGAATAGAAATTATAAAGATCTATTTGGAAGGTCTAAGATGATTAAAGAAGCATCAAGAGTGATCTTATATGATATTAAATAGGATTCTATTTGTTTTAATTAGTTTCCTATTTTGTATTGATTGCTTCTTAAAGGCAAAGACTTACTTATTTTGTATTGCATTAATTAGTAGAGAGTCAAATAATATCCTTCTCATTAATGAAGGGATCCTGCTAGGTGGTGTGTGATTTAGATTATTCTATCTTGACTAGCAAGTTAGAGTATTCTAGAAAGTCTTTTGATTTTCCTAATTTTGTTGTATTTTCGCATCTATTTTTTATGCATTTTATTTAGTTAGTGTCTTAGGCTCTAAAAACTTATATTGGGCTTTTAGGGCTTAGGTTATCAATTAGGATTTTCATATTAGGGTTTTCAAGAGTCTTAGTCTATAAATAATTCAGTATGTATTCTTTTTAAGGAGATGATTTTGAATAATTAATAAAATGAGAATTTTATTTCTCTATATGTGAGCCTTGCTTACATCCTTGTATTCTCGTGAGAATACTCAACAGTATCAAGGGATTGATCAATCTTGTGGTGTCTTTATGGCTAGGGTTATAAGAAACAGGTTTTCTTAAGGTCCTACCTTGATCATCCATCCGATTCCTTGTGTTTGGGGTTACAAGAGGCAGGTTCTCTTGGGGTCTCATTCCATTCCTATACTTGATTCTAGCCGGTCCGGTCCGTTCTCCCCTCTCATATCATAAATC